ACAACAAGTGAGTTGTCTTGTGGATGGGCAAAGAGTCAGATCATGCTGGACATGATAAATCATATTAAACTATAATTCATGTTATGGAAAGGAAGTGGTCATTGATGGGCTTAGAAATGAGAGTCAGAATTTAGCTGAGTCTGTCTTGTGAGGAGTTGAAGAAGGGATAGAAGGTATATCCTGGGTAGGAGCAATCTATGTTATTGACACTGAAGGCCTTGTCCCAAGTAAGAGTGTCTAACTGGAGAGAAACATGATAAGAAATCAAGGTGACCATTTGTCAGGCATTGATGGAGTGTGATGTTTTTCTGTCCCCTGTACAAGAAGTCTTCAGCAGAAGCAGGCTTTTTAGTACAAGTACCTTACTTGAGTCTCTGACAAAATACTCTATACAAACAGCTGAAGGATGAGAGGTTTACTTTTGACTCATGGTTTGAAGGAATATAGTTCATAATGGCCTGAAAAGCACAATGGAAGGAGAGTCAAGCAACTTTCCCCATTGCATCCATATCAAGACATAGACAGAGATGAATCCTGTGTATAGCTTGTTTTTTACTTTTCTTTTTTAAGTAGTCTTGGATCCTAGTTCATGGAATTAAGCCATCTGTATCAGGGTATGTTTACTTTCTCCAGTTAAACCTCTTTGGAAACATCCTCACAGAAACATTCATAGCCATGTCTCCTAAGTGATTTTAATGAGAGTCACCATCATGGGTGGGGAGATGAGGACTATCACAAGACTTAAGCCTAGATTTTTAACTTGGTCCCTTTCTTCATCTGCTGCTAGGTTTCTTGTGGTTCTCTTTATCTACTCAAATGTAGACTATTGAAATTTTAAAAAATTTCTGATATGCCAGCTTTCTGCTAAATATTTCAAAGATGCCTTTGAATCCCTGAGATTCAAGGTCTTTTACAAACTCATCTAAACTGACCTCTTCACGCTAATTTTCTATAGCACCTTCCAAGGTAAAAACCTGATCTTCTCTAGTTGGAGGACCATACTCGGCTGATTTTCTTTGGCACCTTCCAAGGTAAAAACCTGATCTTCTCTAGTTGGAGGACCATACTCAAATAGCAACCATTTTCAGGAAAAAAACAAGTGTTCAGACATGATATTTTTGTTGAAAAAAATTAGAGGAAGAACAGAATTACTATTTGAGCAGCTTACATGGGCAGTAAAGATAAAGCATGAACTACTTGAAGTTTGAGCTTATTTATAAGGTAAAGACAAGTGACAGGAAGGAGTGGAAATCTACTGGGGGCAGATTGATGGGAAGAAATAGAGTGAGATAAGGCATGGAATGAAAAGGGACAGGATGATAGAATACAATATTCTGGGATCTCAGTCTTCACTTTGTGAACAGTAATATAATTTTAAATGTGCATATTGAGTGATGAGTAAGATATTCTCTTTTATTTGTACAGGTGCTTTCAGTGCACATGACTATATATACCTTATTTGCACCTGATGCCTGCACAGACAGTAACAGTCTGTAGTATTTCTTTGGATTGGAATTAGAGATGGTTGTGAGCTGCTTTATGGTTGCTGTGAATTGAACTATGTCCCGTGGAAGAGCAGCCAATAATTTTAATCATTGAGCCATCTTTCCAGCTCTTGCTGGCAATTTTATGCATGTACCACCATGTATGGAAAAATAAGAATGAAGCAATGTCAAACACATTGAATTATTGAATTGTTAAGCTATCTTCAGGATTAAACCTTATGTTAGTACAGTGCTTTGCAGATTATTGAACATTTTCAGTGAAGCTCGGAGAAAATCTATCCTTTCTCAACAAAAGGTTCAGTCCTTGGCCTTTTGACCCCAAGTCTGGTTGTTAACCCTCTTTAGTGCATCTTTTGATTTCTTTTTCTTTTTTTTTCCAACTTCTTTTTTTCCTTTTATATATGAATATATTTTTTTCAACTTTTTATTTGAATTAGAAACAGGATTCTTTTACATGACAATCCCAGTTCCCTTCTCCATCCCGTCCTCCCCTACCATCCCCCCAAATAAAACCCTACATATCACATATCCTTTCTGCTCCCCCTGGATGGTGAGGCTTTCCATAGGGTATCATCAGAGTCTATTGTATCCTTTGGGATAAGGCCTAGGCCCACCCCTGTGTGTCTTGGCTTAGGGAGTATCCCTCTATGTGGAATGGGCTCCCAAAGTCCACACCTATGCTAGGGATAAGTACTGAACTTCTACAAGAGGTCCCGTAGATTTCCGAGGTTTCCTCACAGAAACCCATGTTCCTGGGGTCTGGATCAGTCCCATGCTGGTATCCCAGCTATCATTCTGGGGAGCAAGAGTTCCCTGATGTTCAGGTCAGCTGTTTCTGTGGGTTTCACCAGCCTGGTCTGGACTCCTTTGCTTTTCACTCGTCCTTCTCTGTATCTGGATTCCAGTTCAGTTTTGTGATTAGTTGTGGGTGTCTGCTTGTACTTCCACCAGCTGCTGGATGAAGGCTATAGGATGGCATATAAGTCAGTCATCAATCTCATTATCAGGGGAGGGCATTTAAGGTAGCCTCTCCTTTGTTGCTTAGATTGTTAGCTGGTGTCATTTCTGTAGATCTCCAGACATTTCCCTAGTGCCTGATTTCTCTGTAAACCAAAAATGTCTCCCACTATTATGGTTTCTCCATTCTTGTTATCTTCTATTCTTCCCCTGACTCAACCTTTCTGCTCCCTCATGTCCTCTGCATCCCTCCTCTTCTCCCCTATAGATATTCTATCAATTCTGAGAGAACATGGATGTCAGCCCAGACTACTATACCTTGCAAAGCTTTCTTTCTTTTTTTCAAGAAAACATTTATTTCACCAAAATCAATACTTTCTTTTTAATATCTACAAGCCAACAGTGAGCTCACTTTATTCAAGAATGAATACAATTTATTAAAAAGTATGCTTATATTATAAAAATATGTCCATCTTCTCTTGTGTGCCGAGCAGAAGTCACTGAACTTCTGTGATCAAGGCAAGTTGCTCTACACTGACAGCTCTATTTAACCACAGGGAAGCTAATGGACAAACCTCCCAGGCCCACTGGAGAAGTTGTGCCCAGAGCGTTCTTGCTACCAGAATCCACATGGTGCAACCTGCTGTGTGTCTCTTGCTTACTAGTTGTTACCGTGTATTTTCAGAAAAGTATTAACAATATAATAAAATCTGGGTACAAAATCCTATTAGCTCCAATTTAAAAATGAGATGTGTTACTATGAGCGAACAAATGAATTCCCAATGTTTACAATCCCACGTAGGGAGGTGGGAAGTTTGCCTCCCTGCATCCTTGCCAGCATCCTTAAGCCTCCAAAAAAGCCATCATATACAAGGTTAGTTACTGTGTACATTTTGTTGACTTTACTGGAACCTTCCAGGGCACCAGGTGGGTGTACTGTATACAGTGTCTCACTGTGCTGAGAAGAGGTCTGACTGAGGCAGCTGCAGGACCATCACAGGCTCCAGGAGCCTTTGGCTTATTAATGACTGGCCAGAGTATTGGAGCAGCAGAGTGATGGGGGAGGGGACAATGGCTCTGTGCTGTGTCCCATCCATCAGCGCTGAAGATGCCAAGAAATCCCTGTCTGCCATACAGAAAGAGTTTGCACACAGCTGGGCCCTGGTAGGAACCTCACCCCAGCTAAGCAGAATGACAAACTCATGAGTGCAGTGTTCACATGGTGAATTAAATGTTTCTCAACAGATTCTCTCGGTGCTCGGGACTGACACCTATGAACTGGTAAATTAAGACCAGAGGAAATGTAGAAAAATCTTTCAGCTTTGCCTGCGCTGGCCTACTGGCTCTTCAGTCAGCATTCTCAGGACAGCAGCAGTGTTGGACAGGCACAGACAAAGGCAGAAGGTAGAATGATCACAGTTTCTCTAGATGAGGACCTAACTGCCTTCAACACTCACTTCAGTTAAGCTCACCTTCTGGTCGAATGCTAAGCTTCAAAGGCAGTTAGAGAAGTGCGTGGACCACAGGGCCCAGCCACCTACACTCAGAGGGGAAGAGGAACAGAAGGGACCTGAGCAAAGGCCTCTTGCTAACCACAGAAAGTCACTGCCAGGGCTGCTCCCTGTCAGTGCATCAGCCAGGCAGCAGGTTGCTGTTGGAAGCTGCCATGGCCTCCATAGTAAGTGGAACACTAGAAGGCCAAGGGCTCTGCAACTCAAATCTGGTACAGAGGCCAGAATTTAAACAGAAAACAGAGAAATAGTACACAAAGAGTGAAGAGCTAACAGGACGACGACGCTGAGAGACAGGATGTGCTTTACCACAACACTCAAGATACATAACCATCTGTTCACAATCACAGGTCCTTACTCACAAAATAAATACATTGAACATTTACAGCCACACGACTGCCTCTGGAACGCAGGCTTTCTGTCACTGCTCTGATCAAACCAAGCCCCAACTTTGGTTATCTGCAAAGAGCTTCCTCCAGGACAGCAGCATCCTCAGGCCAGTGTCTGGACTCCTGTGGGGGCCTCTGGGCATCACCATGGAGCTTACAGATCTGCGCTTAAGTTTCCAACAGATGAAAAGGACTATTGTGCTTGTGGGTCTTACACACACCTTCAGAATAGACATAATCGGTGGCAGTAACTACAGATCTCTGCTCACCTGTAAAATCATAAAGCAGAGGGGCTGGAGGCGCAATGAAAAGTTTAAAAATGGAAAATTACAAAACAGCACTAGCAGTCACAAAAAGACCTTGCTAAGGTCTGATCTATGTGGGTTAGACATTGAAAATTCAGCTACTTCCAAAGAACTCTGTCAGAGTCCCAGGCATGCACGCCGCTGACAGCTAGGCGGGTTGGATTGATGCTGCCTTCCTAGGAGCAGGAATGTCTTGCTTCAAATAACAGGGTGAACAGGTTGCCGCCACACTTCTTTTTTTTATAATTAAAAGAAATCCAATCACAAGACATTTTTTTTTTTTATAGAACTGTGGACAGAGAAAATACAGAAATTTTGACAGGTGATCGGACCAGGGCTACCCTGCTTTCGTGATCACGAGCTGCATCTGCACGCTGGCGGCCATGCCGCCTCTATAGCCTCCCTTGGATTGCATTTGGTTCTGAATGGAGCTGACTGAGTTCATCCCACTAAACAGATCTCCGGATCCTACATGAGCTGTGTGCACAAAGTTTGTCGGCTCTCCAATCATACTTCGGCCAGTCCGTCGCCGCCTTTTAGGCTGAGGCTGCTTTGCAATACAGCAGTTGTAACACAACCAGAATTCACTCATGCTTTCACTTCAAGGCTTGAGCTAGCACCACCAAGGCTCCAAGGCTCCAGGCAGGAAGCTCCACAGCGTGAGGAATGGCCGTCAAAATAATTTTATTTCTTTGGGTCTCCGTCCTTGGAGTCTCAGGTCGATTAAAAGGAAAGTATGATTGCTTCTTTTCTGTTTCCAGTTCCAAGTCAGTGGGGAGGAAAAGAACCACTTTGATCCAGAGCCTGGAGCAGGTCACTCATCAATGGGGCACTTACTCAGCTATCTCTGAGTGCAGACTCAGTAGCAGTAGAAGTTGTCCCTGAAGATTTCTTTTTAGTCTCCTGGTTTCACTCAAAACTGGCCATTTGGTTCCCTTTGTCTATGGGCGCCGGCTCCGCCGCTCCCAGGGTCTCCACACACACGCAGCTGCCCCCAGCAAAGCTTTCAATCACTATAAATGGAGAAAACAAGATATTCCACAACAAAACCAGACTTAAACAATATGTAACCACTAATACAGCCCTACAGAAAGTACTGGAAGGAAAACTCCAACCTAAGGAAATTAACTACACTCACATAAACATAGGCAATAGATAATCCCACTCTACAAAAACACAAAGTAAAAGGCAGGGTAAATCCACATACAATACCAGTACCAACAACAAATAAAAAACAAACAAGAATAAACACTCAATGGACCTTAATTTCCCTCAATATTAATGGTCTTTTTTTTTTTGTTTGTTTGTTTTTATTTCAAGACAGGGTTTCTCTGTGGCTTTGGAGGCTGTCCTCGAACCAGCTCTTGTAGAACAGGCTGGGCTCGAAATCACAAAGATACTCCTAAGTGCTGGGATTAAAGGCGTGGGCCACCAATGCCCGGCTTTACTATTAATGGTCTTAACTCACCTATAAAAAGACACAGTCTAACAAATTGGATACAAAGACAGAATCTATCCTTCTGCTGCATACAAGAAACACACCTGGAATTCAAAGACAGACATTATCTCAGAAAAGGGTTGGGATAAGATATTTCAATCAAATGGACCCAAGAAACAAGCTAGGTTAGCTATCCTAGTATCTAACTAGTTAGACTTCAAACTAAAAGCAATCAAAAGAGATGAAGAAGGTCATTTCATATTCATCACAGGAAAAATCCATCAGGAAGAAGTCTCAGTTCTAAACATCTATGCCCCAAATACAAAGGCACCAACACTCGTAAAAGAAACATTATTAAAACTCAAATCACAAATAAGACCTCACACAGTTATAGTGGGAGACTTCAACACCCCACTCTCACCACTGGACAGGACCATCATACAGAAACTTAACAAAGAGACAAAGGAACTAACTGAAGTTATGACCCAATTGGGATTAACAGATATCTATAGAACTTTCTATCCAAACACAAACGAATATGCCTTCTTTTCAGCATCATGTAGAACCTTTTCAAAAATCGACCACATACTCGGCAACATAGCAAACCTCAACAGGTACAAAAGAAATTGGAATAATCCCATGTGTCTTATCAGACCACCATGCTTTAAAGTTAGAAATCAAAAACATAACAAAGTGCAGAAAACCTACCAACTCCTGGAAATTAATTGGTACAGGAGACTGCTTCTTGATTTCTTTTAATTTCATTTATTCTTATTGGACAAGTCAGACCACATAGATGACTTTGATTTAATTTCTTAAAGATCTTGTTAAGCATGTCTGTATTGACTCTTCTCTTCAGTGAGGAAACATCAAAACTAACAACAAACCAAAACCAAAATAAAACCCCAAAAGCTTTCCAAACTATAATTCTAATGGTTCACAGACAAAGCCTCCCAGCTGAACATAGCTAGAGAGGCAACTTGAGATTTTATTGTTGCTGAGCTCATGCATGTACTGGACTGAGATGGCATGAAATAATGTCAGCATGCCATGATGCCAGTGTTTGAAAGCCACCTTAAAATTTGTAAGCATAGCATTTGTTTTGGAAGATCTGGAATCACTGTCTCAGTTCTCTTTGAAGTAAAAGCTCCAGTTTCATGGTGATTGGGTTGTGAACATGTATTTTCAGCACTTTAACAAGGAATTCAGTACTATGTTTTGAAGCTGAGTGCCAAGAGGAAATAGTGCATGCCAAATCATATGGGATTCAGTGGTATACAACAAAGTGGAATCTATTGAGCTTGAGTTTTTTTAATTGAAAGGGAATTATCTTCTGAAAAACATGCCCTTCTTAGACAATGGGGATTTGCAAGGAAAAATTCAAGACTTTGTGGATGCCAGAAAAGATTTATCTGGCCTGAGAGACTGCCTAGAAGTCATTTCTGAACACACATTAGCTCCTTCATATAGCAAACATTTGTGGAGTGTGTGTGTGTGTGTGTGTGTGTGTGTGTGTGTGTGTGTGTGTGTGGTGTGTGTGAAGATCACTGAAACTCAGAGGAGTGTCTTAGTCACTGTTCCATTGCTGTGAAGACACCATGACCATGGTAACTTTTATAAAGGAAAACATTTAATGGGCACTTGCTTACAGTTTAAGAGGTTTAGTCTACTCTCATCATGTCAGGGGGCATGGCAGCATGCAGTTGGACCTGGTGCTAGAGTAGTAGCTGAGAGTTCTTTATTTGGATCCTTAGGCAGCAGCAAGAGAGAGACCCTGGGACCAGTTTGGATTTTTGAAACCCCAAATCCCACCTAAAATGGCACACTTCTTCAACAAGGCCAGACATACTCCAACAAGGCCACGTCTCCTCCAACAAGGTCATATCTCCTAATTCCTCTCAATGAGTGACACTCTGTGGTGATCAAGTATTCAAATACGTGAGCATATGGCAGACATTCTTATTCAAACCTCCACAGAAGGAAGGAAAAATAAAAACTAAAATAAAAATCATCCAGGTCCCATAGATTGCCCAGGCCTCCTAACTGACACCCACGTCCAGGGGGTCTGGATCCATCCTATGCTGGTTTCCCAGCTATCAGTCTGGGGTCCATGAGTTCCCCCTTGTTCAGGTCAGCTGTTTCTGTGGGTTTCTCCAACCTTGTCTTGACTCATTTGCTCCCTGGGGAGCAGAAAGAGGATGGGATAAAGGGTTGGTTGGGGAGGGTAGGGAGGGGAGGAGGGGAAGGAGAGGGAACTGGAATTGACATGCAAAACAAGTTTGTTTCTAATTTAAATAACACAAAGAAAAAAAGAACAAAAAAAATTTACATAAATTAAGCAATGGTGAAAGCTGCAAAAAAAAAAAAAAAAAATCATCCAGGTCCTGGTATGTGACAATGTTTTTTGAGTTTGCCAATACTATTGTTTAAACTAAGCACCGTGTTTGCTGCCCAACAACAACTTTATTATCACTCATTCAATTGTTTTTATGAGACTGTAAACTCCAGAAGTGTGGAGGCCATGAATTATTTGTCTTTCTATCTGCAATGTTTCTCATGGCTTTTGATAAATAGAAGTCACTCAAAAGTATCACTAAACAAAAGAAGTCCTTAGGATCTAAAAATCAAATCAGCAGTAGGTGAGTATTTAGTTAGCAAAGAATTATTTTTTAAAAAATATAATTAACATTCTGTAAAATTTACTCCTTTAAGAATGCAGGTTATTTCCTGGTGGTGGTGGCACAGGCCTTTAATCCCACCTGCAGCAGGTTAGAGAGGTGGCCCTGGGGTTCCAATAGTAGGAGAGCTATCCCTGACCCTCACTGGCTGCAATGCACAAGAAAGAAGCCTGTTTCCCTTCTGGGCAGGGCACTAGATCTGACCCTGTTGTCATGGACAGAAGTGAGCCAGTCCTGAGGGTGACAGCAGGAAAGCTGAGCCCACTCCCTCCTCATATTCTCCCTACAGCAATCAGGAGAGAGGGCTTTGCACCTTGTCTGTGCAAAACAGTAGAGTTGGCCCTGGTGAGGGAATCCATATCTGAGGGCTTAGAGCAGAGCAGGAGAACTGACATGCTCCTTGCTGTAGGCTGCATTGGGTGAGCTAGCTGAGGCAGTGCTGGAGAGCTCATTTGGGTACAGATGACAGAAAACTAGTGAGCTGACCAACCCAGGTACCACCCAGGCCCAGACCAGGGCTATGAGTTGGCCCACCCCAATATCCTCTGAATCTTGAACTGTTGGAACATGTGAAAGGGGAAACTACAAATCCAAAACAGCAGGATCTCCATGACACAGTTCAACAATAGGATATCCAAGAGGAGCAGCACCAGTGAGAGCCTATTATATGGCTGATGTAGCAGAAACCAGAGGCCTCGAGCCAGACCTATGACTTAAAGCAATGAACACTTACAAGTAAGGATGTAGACTAAAGGGTAAACTGTGTGACTCACTGGGCCACACTACACCTTCCTGGACAGGATTCTTCTTTTCATTTTTGTTTTTGCTTTGGTTCTTTGTTTTGTTTGGTTTTTGGCTTTTCTTTTAAATTTGGTTTTTGGGGGAGGTTGGAAAGACAGAGGGTGGATGTCAGGGGACAGGGAAATGAGTGGGATCAGAATGCATGATGTAAAATCCACAAAGAATCAATAAAAGTAAAAAAAAGAATAAAGTTCATCACAATGATTTACTCATGCTATTTTTCCAGTTTAAGTATAACACATTAATTTTGCACTACACTTTATACATGAAGAACTCATATTGTAATTCCTATAAAACTAAAACAATAGAGATGCAAATATATTAATGGAAAATTAAATGGTTAAATTAGTAATCCAACTGAAATAAGTGAATGAGAGCACAGAGTCTGTAAGAAAAACAGATCACTTAGCAACATAAATTTGCACTCATATATAAATATCAGCAATTACTTTCCAGCACAAATGGCCCACTGTTTCAACTAAATGACAGATAATTTTAAACTGGATTAAGAAACACAACACATTCAACTTTAAGAATTTTATAAGAAAGTTTCTCTTAATAAAAGTTTATTTATTTTTTGGCCAAAGATCCAAGAGTTTAGCAATAAAAGTCTAGAGTATATTATACAAACACTGTGTCCAAGTGCTTTTGTAAAAATGTGTATTATGATTCTATTTGCATCTACTACACATATATGAGAGTAGTCTGACTCAGGGTCCTCCAGGGGAGAGTGGCAATATTATATAACTTGGTGGATACATAGAATTGAGCACATGTGCACT